GCTTTTCTTTTTTTTTATTTCTTTCATATTTAAATGTATTGTTATAATCTTTGCTGTGGAAGGGCTTAATATACATGGGCCACATCTGGCTTGCATGGTGTATTTATGAGGCCTGCCTGGCATATTTAGAATTGGCATTAAACTCCTACATTTTTTTTCCAAAAAGGAAAATTCCCAGCTCGCAGGGAATGCCAACTGAATATAAATTGATTGTTGTTATTGAGAGGTAGCTAGAATATTTTCTAGTTCTTAATACAAACAATAATGATGATGATACAGGATTTTGATTCTGCAGGGCTGAAACTGCCACTTGTGAACCCTAGGATAGTCTTTCAGCAAATATTCAATTACTTTATGCCAGCATTTCTCAAGCCCTATGAGTTTATGCCGTACTGTAGGAAAGTGAGCACTTTCACACTCCCTGTACTTCAGCCCACCTCTGCTTCACCGCTGATTTTCTCACATTTCCTGTTTCAGCCGCTGCTGCAAATTCCTATTACCAGTGACTGGCAAAGGAAACACCAGCAAGGAGAACTGGCAACACAAAAACAGCAGTGGCAACAGCTGGAGTGTGGGAGCTTTGAGAGAATCGGTGGTGAGGAAAGCACCAGCTTATTTACAGACTGTCATACGTGCGCACAATGCTTTACCTGCATTCTCTTGCCTCAGCTAACTCTGTTGGAGCCTATTCCTGAAAAACATTGAGTAGCCCCTAACAAGATGAAAAGACCTTCGCTTCTGTTTACATCCCTTCCCATAGGAGCTTTATTCTTCTCTCAGCACTGACTTAGATTGACTGATTTCTGATTTACACAAATAATAATGAGATAGGCATGAGATACATCAGGGCTTATTTTAGATAAAGGTACAAAAGGAGAAATTACATTAAACAAGAAGGTGAGGATGAGGGTTAATGGGCATCCATTCACAGAAAATTTCGTTAACAGGAAACTCAGTTCTAAGAGAATCTGTGTATTCAGCATGCTCTGAGATAGTTCTGCAATTTTAAAGCCAAGTATTGACCTCATTCAGGTCAATGAGCTTCTGTCATACCTTTCCAATGGATCATATTTTGCCTTTCAATGTATTTTTCAGACTTTCTATAGTAAATATACTAGTATTACATCAAAACTATGTTGTCCTTTTTCATAAAATAAAAACTCTAGTTTAAAAAAATTCTATGAACATCCTATATGCATTATAATAGTGATATTACATTTAGACAATTAGCAACAGATTGAAACAATAGCAGTTGGGTCCCTACTGAAATGGTCAGCAACCATGTCTTGTGCAAAAAAAGATATTCTTCACAATGTGAGGAAGTGTGAAAAAACTTCAGCTTTCAAAAGGAACTTCAGAAATGCTAAACCCAGATGCTACAGCTTTGTCTTGACAGATTTGGGGCTCATTACCAGTCAACTTTGGATTAAAAGTCCCTGTTAAAACATCCATTGTTTACAAAAAATCTTTTGAGTATTCAGACTGAGGACACATTCCTGCCATCCAGAAATGTTTCTGTGCTAAACTAAACACCATGACATGAATGTGTTGATGTAGCCCTCTCTTTCTCTCACCAGGAGTCTACCTGTCCTGTACAAATAGCAGTTCCTAAATAGTCTGTTAATATGTAATATTTCACTTTCCCCATAGCTTATGGCAAAGTACAGGCAGCCAAAAAGACGGAAGCTTAATCAATTCAATCACAGATTATGCTAAACTGCATCGACTGAATCAATAGCAAGTGAACAGATATTCATTTTTGATTCCAGAAATGCAGCCACATGTTTGCAGTGGCTCAGGCCAGAAGCCAGGGGGCACTAGAGCATGCCTTCTTGCTCATCTGGAGCAGACAGCTTGGGCCAAGGCCAGCCCACCCACCCTGTGAGGTGGGGAGGAGTTGCAGGGGAGGTGCAAAGTATCCTGGGATGCTGGGAGACTATGAGTTAATCTGGAGGGGATCTGGAACAGAAGTTCAATAAACTGATTTAACCTAAATCATTTAAGTCTGATACTAAATCCATCCAGGTTTATGTTAAATGGGTTTTGGCCATTTTGAAAGCAGTTTATGTGTGCTGAACTTCTGTTGTGTTACAGATTTGAAGTGTTTTCTGATCATGTATACTAGTTTATGTGTAATTTCTGCCCATAGCCCATGAGTATCATAAAACAATTTATTCAGTGTTTGAAAATATATGGAATGTTTTATGTTTTTGTTTTACTTATGTATTTTTATTGTGGCAGTGCTGTGCAGCCCATCATAGACTCAGGCTCTGTTACACTTGGCACTGTATAAATGCAGAACAC